GTTGAACCGCTGATGTCACATGGATTATTTTACCGATCTCCTTGCTACGTTTCTGGACCTTGATCGTGTAAGGACACTTGCTGTCTATGGGAGGGTCAGAGAGCTCTCAGATTTCATCAAAAATATCTTAATTTGTGTTCTGAAGATGAACGGAGGTCTTACGGGTTTGGAACGACATGAGGGTGAGTAATTAATGACAGAATTTTCATTTTTGGGTGAACAAACCCTTTAACATTTTTTTATGTGTAAAGTGAATGAGGTTGATTCAGACCTTCCTGGTTGTGGTGTTTCCTTCATCTCTTGGTTCAGGAGGTCTGGTCTGGATCTCTAGGTCTTGTGGCCGGTTTTTGACTCTTCTCTGATGGCGCTGCATATAGTGGGCGATCTCCTGACGAGCATTGATGTACAGAGGAGTTACAGAGTTTTGTGGCATCATCACAGCCGATATTTACTTAACCGTTTGAGAATCAAGAAGTGATAGTTTAAACTTTTGATGTATTTAAGTTCTATCTCCACTAAATGAAAATATGGAGCTGTTTATTACAATTGGTATCAATCTGTTTATCAATTTATCAGTCCAGTTATCCTGATGATGTTTCTACCTCATCTTGAGCTACTTGGGCCGCAATGAAATCCACCTCTGATCCAGAGCTCTGAGGAAACTGCTGAACAAAAAGACATGATAATGAATACTACTAATGTTGTTAAATAATACTGGTCCCAAACTCTACACAAACCTGAAGTTATAGAAAAACTAACCCCATCCTGGTCCATAATCCAGACTCAGGTCGAGTAGCAAACATACCTCTCTGTGAGGCAGCGTATCCTCTTCCTCCTGAAGTCTACGGGCCAGCTCAGCGTCCTGAAGCACCTGCTCCCAGACTCCCAAACCTGACGGAGGGAGACCAAAACCAGTTGTGCAACATGAGATGCTTGCATTCACATCAAGCATTTGTGAGAAAAAACAGTTACCTTCACAGAGTGGAGAAACACAGTCAGTGTCATTGTAACCAGCAGCAACCCTCTGCCGTCTCATCTCCATTTCTTCTTCTTCCTGTAGCTGTTTAGCGATTTCCTGTTGAGAAAACGATTCACACACATATACAGTAATAAACTGACCGATGCATGTGTTTTAACAGTCCAGTATAACCATAACTGTTAAGATCAACAGAAAAAAACATACAACACATCCATAATGTGACATATTTACAACTGAGTCTGAAATAAATGTAAGCAGGAACTTGGATTCATTTATTGGAAATTGATTGGATTGCAAAAAGTTCATAAGAAAGCTTGGTGGCATCAGCTGAAATGGACAGCTGTTACGTTTTGCATTTATTTTTTTCAAAGTAATGTTTACAAATCATTTAAAATAAAACCAGGGATATACTGGTAATACTGTACAGTTATTTCAACAGAAGCTAGTTTCCACATAATGAATAAAAACGAATAAAAATAAACAGGCAATTGCAGATTTTTATCTCATTATTCAGACTTTTCTTCTCAGAAATGCAATTCTAAAATGATATCTGTCAGTTTTGACTGTTTCTCAGAACTGTAAGGGAAAAAATTTAGAATTGTGAGATAAAAAGTCTCAATTATATACTTTATTTTTATCCCATGGCGGAAACAAGCTTCATAAAAATCATAACTGAAACTTAAAAAACGTACTTTTGAATTTTTTATCTCACAATTCTGATTTTTCTTCTCAGAAAAGTTTGAGTAGCAGACCTGAGTTCTACACTCTAAAAAATGCTGGGTTGTTTCAACCCAACTTTGGGTCAAATATGGACTAACCCAACTTTTGGGTTAAAAATTGAATGTAAAAATGTAACCCAACAGCTGGGTTAGTCCATATTTGACCCAAAGTTGGGTTGAAACAACCCAGCATTTTTTTAGAGTGTAACAATTGTCAGTTTATAACTCACAATTTAGATATTTTTTGTCTCACAGTACTAACTTTTCCCCTCAGAATTGCAAGAAAAAAGTCTGAATTGTGAAATATAACCTTGCAATTATATTTTTTACTTTTTATTTTATTTGGAGGGCTTCCATACACTCTAAAAAATGTTGGGTTGTTTCAACCCAACTTTGGGTCAAATATGGACTAACCCAACTTTTGGGTT